AAAACCATCCGTCGTTGGTGAGTTCTCGTTCCCCTAAGTCCTGTAGATGGGGTTTATGTATATTGCGAGATATTACCATATGCGGTATGTCATAATTTAAGCGAGATTAGTCATATGTCATAGCGGAGGGATTACCATTTTTAGCGTGAACAAGGGAAGAGAACTCACCAAGACGGCTGGCCTTTTTACACCTCCGAGGATCGTCCGAGAACGTATCGAACCTCAAGCGCGCAGGAAAAGCCAAAAAGACGCCGGCATTTGTTGCAGTTCGCTTGAATTTCGAACAGTGGGTACGCGACCTCGGGAGGCGCCAGCGCGTCGCGTTCCCGTCGCGCGCGCGGCGTGCAGACTCGCGCGGCGGGCCTCTTCCTGTTCAATCGCACACTCTGTGCGTATTGCAGCATCTCCGCGCAGCGTGGTACTTACTGCCATATTCTGCTACCCCTACACGCCCACAAGCGGCGTCCATATCTCTTTCGCAACTCCTTCGGTTCTCATTCGAGTGCCTGCGCGGGATCGCTGGGCCCTTTTTCGAGAGCTTGCGACAATGCCGGGCGCGGACGTCAAGCTCGAAGATAGAACTCCAACTAGATATATTGCAGCACTTTCTCCGTATATGAGAAACATTTAACAGACCCGATAGAGCTACCGCGAGGGTGCCCGCCCCATCACAAAATGGATTGGTGTGAACGAGCTCTTTTTCGTTGAAAATAGTGTGCGCGTGCCGGAAGTCGGGTCCGCGTATTCCCCAACGTCATAGTAAAGGGGCTGAACCCTGTACAGTATCTTATTTGCAACCATGGAGGGGGGCAGTCGCCGTTCAGGCTGACACTCGTGTAAACCGAATGAAAGGCCCGCGCAGATCGCGAGAGGGCGCCACTCATCCTCTAGTGCCGGCAGCATGCTGATACAAGTCTCCGCGTCCATACCAGCGGTAAAAATTAGGGCGATGGATGGAAGCAGTCGCGCGGAGGCCCGCCGCGTGAGTCTGCACGCCGCGCGCGCGACGGGAACGCGACTACCCTGACTATATGCGCGGCAAAGCCGCTGTAGACGTTACGAGTGTTCGCGAGGGCCACATCAAAACCTTGCATTATCACTGTAGACGGCTGTAGAGCACTACTTGTACAACATAATACCAGATCCAAAAAAAAAAAGACGGGAACGCGACGCGCTGGCGCCTCCCGAGGTCGCGTACCCACTGTTCGAAATTCAAGCGAACTGCAACAAATGCCGGCGTCTTTTTGGCTTTTCCTGCGCGCTTGAGGTTCGATACGTTCTCGGACGATCCTCGGAGGTGTAAAAAGGCCAGCCGTCTTGGTGAGTTCTCTTCCCTTGTTCACGCTAAAAATGGTAATCCCTCCGCTATGACATATGACTAATCTCGCTTAATTATGACATACCGCATATGGTAATATCTCGCATATACATAAACCCCATCTACAGGAC